GTTTACCAGCTCAATAAATACTACACTGAGCGCTGCCAGGCGCGCAAGGCGGCCATCGCCAAGACCATCCGAGAGGTCTGCAAGGTGGTCTCGGACGTGCTAAAGGAAGTGGAGGTGCAGGAGCCTCGCTTCATCAGCTCCTTGAGCGAGATCGATGCCCGCTACGAGGGGCTTGAGGTCATCTCGCCCACTGAATTCGAGGTGGTGCTCTACCTAAACCAGATGGGCGTCTTCAACTTCGTGGACGACGGCTCGCTGCCCGGCTGCGCGGTGCTCAAATTGAGCGATGGGCGGAAGCGGAGCATGTCTCTCTGGGTCGAGTTCATCACAGCGTCGGGCTACCTCTCAGCGCGTAAGATCCGCTCGCGTTTCCAGACGCTAGTGGCCCAGGCAGTGGACAAGTGCAGCTATCGGGATGTGGTCAAGATGATCGCCGACACCAGTGAGGTCAAGTTGCGCATCAGGGAGCGCTATGTGGTGCAAATCACTCCGGCGTTCAAGTGTACCGGGATCTGGCCTCGCAGCGCTGCACAGTGGCCTATGCCTCACATCCCCTGGCCCGGCCCCAACAGGGTGGCGGAGGTCAAGGCCGAAGGGTTCAACTTGCTCTCGAAGGAGTGCTACTCGCTGACCGGCAAGCAGAGCTCGGCGGAGAGCGACGCCTGGGTACTACAGTTCGGGGAGGCGGAGAACCGCCTGCTGATGGGCGGCTGCCGAAACAAGTGTCTCTCGGTGCTGAAGACCCTTCGGGACCGCCACCTGGAGCTGCCCGGCCAGCCGCTCAATAACTACCACATGAAGACGCTGCTGCTGTACGAATGCGAGAAACACCCGCGAGAAACGGACTGGGACGAGTCGTGCCTGGGCGACCGGCTCAATGGCATCCTGCTGCAGCTCATCTCCTGCCTGCAGTGCCGCCGCTGCCCTCACTACTTTCTGCCCAACCTCGACCTCTTTCAGGGCAAGCCCCATTCGGCCCTGGAAAGCGCTGCCAAGCAGACCTGGAGGTTGGCCAGGGAAATTCTCACCAATCCCAAAAGCCTGGACAAACTATAGGGTGCTGGGGACTGCTTGAAAAGCGACACAAACGGGCGTGCTCTCTCATACACACAACACACAACTCAGCGATACAGCAGAAACTCTAGACACAAACTTTTATGTAAGTCACCTGAAAGAATGAGGAATTAGGCAGAAGACCTTCAGTACTTAAGAAGCAAACAAAAAGAAAGCAAACCAACCAAAACAAATCACGCTCTTGCACAAGTGATTTTTCTTCCAAACAATGTGAATTTAAAGGGTCACACAAAAGAAGCAATCGGGCTTTGCCACCACAAAATGAAACCCAAGGTACATTTTCAAATCAATGTATAGTAGTTTCCCCCCTCTTTTCCTTCTCTCTCTCTTTTTCTCTTTCTCTCTCTCTCTCTCTCTCTCTCATTTTGTTTTTGGTTGCCTGAATGTTGTCACCAAGTGAAAAAATTATTTAACTATATGTAAAATTTCTTTTAAAAAAAGTTTTACTGATGTTAAATGTATCTCAGTGCCAATGTCAGATTGTGCCCTTCCCTTTCTTGCACCTCTACCCCTACCCTAAGCCCTCTTGTTGAAAACAGTAATAAAAATATTACTTTACATTGTAATTGACTGCTTGTGGATTGTTCTTAAATGAAGGCAGGTGAGATCACAGTTTAAAACTTACACTGTATAGATGTGAACTTGAGGAACTAAATGCAAGGAGCTTCCATTTGAACTCTGATTTGCAAAATTTAAAATACAGCACCTTTTGTAGAATTAACTGGACAAGTTCCCACCAAAATCCTTACAAGAGAAAATATTAATTTTACTCAAGTAAAATATATTTTTTCTGCAGACTTTAAAATTAAAGGTAACATCTATTTCATATTTGAAAAAAGAAAACACTATGAAAGAACATTTTTATCTTAATTTTTGAAACAAAAAAATTTTCACATTAAAAATGAAGATATATTGTTTCTTATGCCATAATTTTAAAACATTCAATCTGAGTCTGAAATACAAAAGAAATATTTATAAATCTTTTCTGAATACTTAAAATCAGTTGATACTTCTCCTTCAACTATTTGTTCTCTCTTCACGCTTTAAATAATAAAAGCTTACCAATTAAATCAACCACACTAAAAATGAATAAAATGGTTACAGAAATATTTCTCTCCCCCAGCAAATGGTATGAACAATTCAGATTTAGAAATTACTTCAATTTTAAAATGGCTTAGTTATCAATGCCATAATAATAATGATTTTTATCAAATTGCAAGAATTATTCTGAAGCTTCTTGCATGCAATTCAAACAAAAAAAGGTTTTAATACCATCTTTACAACCAAAGAAAAATTATTGTTTCAAGAATTTACAAAAAAGCAAAGTACCTTCCTCCTTCTGCTTTTCTAAGGCAACAATCCAATATATTCATTTGAATGTTTCAACTTTAACAAAGGTTTATTTTTAATGCCAAGAAACAACTGATCAGAAAATAACAAAATTAGTAAAACTGAAAGTATCCCAAAGGAATTGGTTTGTCTTCTTTATATTGGAGGTAACTATATACTCCATTAGCTATGCTAATGGTGAGGCACAGGTACAGAATATATGTCAGATGTTACCCTTTAATATTTAAAATTTATCCTTAGTATTAGCCCAGTTTTACTTTACTGGGAAACCCATGAATGAGAAAAATGTTCTAAAAAAACAACTTTAAAGATCAGAGGAAGAAGTTTGAGTGGGGGAAGGGGTGTATGGAAGGATGAGCAGCAGGATAGCAGAGATGGATGAAAAACAAGAAAACTACTCAGGGGTCTGAAGCCTGGTTCACTTGACAAACAGGTTTAAGTTGTAAGATTCCCTGGTAAAAATAGCCCTGTGTTAAAAATATAAACTTTGATCTTATCTGTTCTGAAATCATCTCCACTCTTTCAACCTTTATCTATTTTTCTAGCCCCTCTTCCTATAGATGTAGAACAAACTCACCATAATACTAAGTGGTTCAGACAAATACACTAATTCTTTTAAATAATAAAAACCAATTTTGTGTCTGGGGAAAATGTTCTCAATTTTAAGACTATTTCCAAAGCAAGCAGTAAGTGCTTACATTTGCATGAAATAATTTCAAGGAACAGTGTTTAGTGAAGAAGATTAAAATGGTATCTTAAAACTCACAAAACTATTTACAGCATTAGACACCTATCTCCCTTGAACTATTCTTGGAAAGCATTTTTAAGCCCTGGTAAGAAGAAACAAAAATACCCCTAACTCAGTATCTTTTCTTCTTTCTTATTTAATTTAATGCAGGTATCAGCAAAAAAGGAAAAAGAAAAACACAGTGGCAACATAAATGTCCATGTTTACAAAACACCTTAAAGCACTAATGTCTATACAAAATTAAATTTTTTTCCAATAATTTGGCTGAAAAATTTTAAAAATGTAAATTGGCAGAAGTTTTGATTTCTGGAATACTAGGCAGACTGCAGTGGTATAAGACCATTTCTATGATTAGGCCAAAAGCTCTCAATATTTTACAATCAACAGGGAAAAAACTAATTTAATGATGCTGCACAAAATAAGATCAGACAAAAATAAAAGTTATAACTTCCCTCAAAGGAGCAAATAACTTCAAAGAACCTAATCTCAAAGATTGACAGATGTTCTAATTTTGAGAACAATTCATTAGACACCTTAAAATTCAATGAAATTTTAGACTTTAAGCCATGTGTGCCCAAAAGCTTCAGAATATTCTAAATTAAATCCCAGCCTCTCTTAAATTCAGAAATTATCAGGAATCAGAGAGTTTGAGTTATTTTGGTAACCTTTCCTTTCCTAAAAAAACCTAAAATACATTTTCAGACATTTCAGCCATGCAACAAAGTAGAAAAACTTCTTAACTGATATAATTTCAGAATTAAAGTTTTTTCTACATTGGATTAGCTGAATTATCAAGCTCAAAACAATCAGTTCCATCGTAGTCTTCTTGCCATAAAGTCTACCAAGTCCTGTCTTTTTAAGGCAGCAATATTAAAACAGAGTGCTGGAAATATGCCTAAGATAAGAAATGATTTGTAAAGTTTTTAATAAAATCATAACATTTTCATCAAGAGATATTTTGAAATACTTCTAAATCCTTAAGATTTAATAATTCACATGATTACAAAACCAAAGGAACTCCTACCAATAAACTCAAAATGTGTGTGTATGAGTGTGTGTACACACATAATCAGCCTATAAAATAAATTATTTCATTTTTTTAAACTATTTATCTTTCTACCTTATTCTTCTTAAAATGAGGCTGCTTATTTTACCCATTTTTAAAGAAACTGTTTCTTCTCAGAGCAAATTTATCCTTCTCTTTCATGAAATAAACCTAATTTTGGCTTTTATGACTGTGCTACAAATGTTTCTTAGTAAAAATAAAGTTGCCAAGAAATACATTTTAAAGGGGAAATCACATTTCATTTAAGAATAGAAAATTACACAGTGCCTTGTAAAATCTACTATAGGTAATGGGAAACAGAGGTATCTCACACACACACACAAAACATGCTTGCATACACGACAGAGCAGTAAGTCATGGGGACAATGCAAGGAGGGTGATATATTGATATCATATCCAGAAAACATAAAGGCTAAACAAAATAATTCCACTCTCAATCTCACTGAATTTTGTATCTTAATTCACCCTGGACCCTTTGAGGCAAAATATATTTATAGAAGATATTCCCTAAGGTTCCCTCCCCCACCCATGAGCTAATGATAAATGTAATAAAGTAGAAATTGTTTCTGAATTTAAATGAGCTTCAATAATCTAACTAGTAGGGAATCATAAGCTAAAAAAGATAACTGCATTGTATATAAGCCAAGGCAATTCAGCAAGAAATTCAAACTAAGCCTGTCAGATTTACCAAAGCCAATCTTACCCAACAGTAGTCACCATCCCATCACTAAAAAAAATGAAACCCCTTCCTCATCTTCTCACCTTGGGGTCGACTTTTTTGAAGTTAGGATCCTCTTCATCCACCTCAAAGTAGAGTTCAGAAGAGGTGACAGAAAGAGTCCCCTTTACTACAACAGAGGGGGCCACAAGCTGAGCTGGTGTACTCAGGCTAACAGGACCTGCCAAAAGGAAAAGACAAGCTGCACAAGTTGGAATGACATTTTTCAAAAAATAAAATTTGACCAGAAATTTTATGTAATTTTTTATTCTCACTTCTAATACTAAACTGCATGCCAAATCATTCTACACTTACACGTTCTGTCTATCCCAAATCTTCCTCTGAAAATGCAAAGTCAGGATTCTCACATTATAAGATTTGTAACAGGCAGTTAATGATAACTGTAAACTAGGATGCAATTATTTTACAAGGGGTCTGCAAAGCTTTGGTCTAATTTCTAGGTAAGATGGGGGCTCTGCCTAAATAAGTCCATCCACATTCCATTTAGAAAACAAGCCTCAGGCTATCAAACAACATGGAACAACAACCAGGAGCAAGGAGACCTCAATAGGCTTCCAAGGCTAGGATTTAGCTTAGAGTTTGGCTGAGGCATGACTATAAAAAGATCACTAGCTTATTAAGGAAGTGGGAAACATTAAACCGTATTCTCTGATAAAGATTTTGTGCCAGGTTGACACAAACCCTCTTCTGTAACAACTTTACCCCATGAAAAACTGTAAAAATACTTCTTTTCTAAGTCTTCCTTTCCACTGTTAAATATTGTTCAATGCTTCCAAATCTAATATTCTAAATGTAGTTCAGGGACTTTGGGAATAAACAGCTGGAGGGTGGGTTTCCAAGTGAATGAATTTTTATTGGAATAATCAAATCTCCACAGGGCTTATCAAAGAGACAAATCAGACTGCTACTGAAAACAATAGATTCACTACAGATAGAACAGCATAAAATATATTAGAGCTAAACCTAAAATAAGGACTAAAAATAATAATCATATACTTTATATATACACTTATGTAAAGAAAGATACAGAAAGAATTTAAAATTCCATGTCAATTCCTCATTGTATAAATCCTATGGGGAAGAAAACAGCAAAAGAGAAGATTGGCACTTACAGTTCTGAATTAATATAGTGCCTATAAACAAGGTGCGCCTGGTTCAGGTAATCAATGAGTGAATAAGTGTTTCAAAATTCAGATGAATTGACATTTCCATTGATTGTTAGAAGGGTGATGGTCCTTAATCTCACATCAATCTTAATGTGTGCCAGTAGGACAATAGAAGGGATGCTCTGTGGAGATCAGAGCAGGTTTTGCCCTCTATTCCCAATGTACAAATACATTGTGTTTGCAGATGGGTAGCAGATAGCTGCAGAACAGCTATGATTTCCCAAAGCTCATCCCTATAAATGGATGAAATAAGCAGCTATGTGTTCTTTTGCTGTCTCCTTTTGCCCTCTGTACATTAGCATGTAATACTGAGAAGAAATAACATTTTTTCAATCACTCTCAGACATTCAATTACAGGGTAAGCAGACAGCTGCAGGAGCTAGGGCAGCCTAGGTCCTACAGAAGACCCCTGACAATTTCCACTTCATTTCTAACCCACACCACTTTATTAGTGTGGATTACTTCTTAATCCTATTGCCATTGTCAAGATTATATAATTAAACTCCCCTTTCACCTCTATTACTGTATGAATGTATTACTAGTAGCAAGAACAGAAGCAAAATAAAGAAGAAAATGGATGTGAAGGAAAAGACTAGAGAATAGCCATATCCACCTTATTCTCTACTCCCACCAATTAATGTTATTTTACTTTACAGAGAAGTTTCCAGTGGTGAGAGATGACACCATCTTCTACTTTTGTTTTTTATTATCAAGTTGCATGATAGTACACATTGCCGATATCACCACATCAATGATTTTTAATGCCTTTTCTCTTAATATTATCAAACTGAAACACATGTAATTTTCACCTATAGAAATTGTAGAATCTTTCAGACTTTCCTCCTTGAAGGAAAGAGCCATGGGATCAAAGAAAAAAGCCATTTAATGAACAACTAAAATTTCAGGCTAAACAAGAGAATTTTTCCCATAAGGGAAGTAAAACTGAGAATCTGCAGAGTGCAAATAAAAATTTCTACATCAAGCAAAATATGTGAATCTTATGAAAATGCCATGGCATTCTTGGAAGTGATTTTTTGAGAGAGTTAAACGCATATGTAGCATGATCACTAAGACTTGCATATCAAGGCAAATAGCTCATCTGCCCCCAAGCTTTATTTATAAAATAATTGGCAGAATTTTACTTATGGTCCTAATTTTATAGAGATTTGGTAACTCTCATGGGATGGATGAAGTAATTTTGTTTTGTTGTTGCTGCTTTTAAGCTTTTTTCTTTTTCAGTGAAAATTATTCATAAAAGAAAAAAATGAGGAGGATTAGGAGACTGAATAGAAAAATAAAGTAGAAACTATAAAAGATAAGGGGAAAAATGTTTGGAAGAACAAAAACAATCCCTAAATAATGTACTTGTGGGTGTAAGCTTGGTAGTCCTGGTGGTCACAGCTGAAAAAAGTAAGCAATTAGATGCTTATTGTCCCAGAGCTAGCTGAAATATTTGCACAACCACTGAATTTACCGGCAAGATTCTCTAAATCTTTCTCATCCACGGATGACAGAGTATCGTCGTCGCCTTCCAGGAGGATCTCGTTTTCTGAGTTCCGATTTCCTAAAGCCTGACTCTTGATGGACTGTTTTCCTTTAGCAAGGATATCTTCATCTGCGGCTGGAATGAAAAGGAAACAAAGCTGTCCATCAGCTGTGGGAAGAGCACTTTGGCAGAGGGGTAGGGGCTGAGGTAAGGGTAGGTGGCCAAAGATGATCTATCTTTTATACACAGTGAGTCTCCCATGGTGGGGAAAGTGATTGGGATGGCACACACGCCTGTTTTGACAAACTCAATCCCCCAACCTAGTCTAATGTTACCCCAAACAAGCACCCTAATCCCATTAAATCTGCCCCCTGCACTGCTCATGAAACCATTTATTTACTTAGTACAGTTCAGGCAGAAGCAGGTTCAAAAGCAGCATTTTGGGGAGTGGTAGAGGAATGTGGAATTCGTTAATAGGAAAAATCAGAATCTAGTTTTGGAAACAGTATCTATTTAACACCAAAAAATAAAAAGGACTGATTGAATGAATCTCTGAATAACATAATACTGACAAAGATTTTGAAATGGTTGAGGAGTGGCTGTGGGAGAAAATACAAAGCGTGAAGGGTCAAAGCTAAGAGACTTACAGCCAATGAGGATTTAGGCCCAGACACTGAAGCCATATCTGACACTAATAAAGCTACAGCAGCTCCTAGAAACTGCATTCTCTTCTTTACTCCATTCTCCCTGCTTCCTTCCTTCACATTGCCCTGACCCACGTTTTCACACATACAATTACCACCTCCCCCCAATCTCTTATACAAATATCCAAAAGCAAGGCAGTGTAGAAACTAAGTGGAGGCACAAACACTACCTCCTCTGCATGTTTAAACGAAAGGACTAAGGCACCGGGGAGCAAACATAACAGAAAGACCAGGATGAGAGGCATGTAGGCAAGGGGCCTCAAGCCGCCTGAACTGGAGCAGCCAGTGGAGAACAGCAGCACCACCGAGTCTCAGGCACTGTGACAAGGCAGCAGCTACAAGAGGAAGGAAGGAAAGGAAATACCAAATCTAGGGAGTGAAGAAGCAGCTCTGCAGAACACCTATAAGTCAACAATAGGCCAGAAAGGGGAGCAGAGGTGCAACAGAAAAGAGGAAATACTGAAACTCAAAACTCTGCCTTCAGAACCCCACATCCCTCCAGGGTGACTCCGGTCTGTCGTTTTGAGCAGCTTTCTCCCTAAGAAAAGCAGGGAAGCAGATACTAACTTCTGGATTGTGATTTGTAAAAGCTCATGTGTGTATCTTTTCCTAACTTTTTTTTTTTTTAAATGGTGTCACATGAGGGAAAGTTAAGAATCTTCACTACTCTTCTGACATTCCTGGTTTTCAGCTAGATGAATCCCAGAGTTTAGTAAAGCACCTGATCCACCAGTCTGCAGCTATTGATACGGAAATCGGATGGCTGGGCTTTTTGCTCAACTGCAGTTTCTGCCTAGGCATAAGGCCCAAACCCCAGAAAGGATAAAGCAGTCAGTTTGCAGTAACATGACTAATGTATATCTGTATAATTTATTCTAATAGTTAAAAAAAAATACCATGTGTGTTACCTGGTTAACTAACTTGGCAGATGAAAGCTTCTTTGGGTTTAGTAAGTATGTTCATGGATAATGTTGAAGGTATAAGGTTTTTTTCTTTTTCACATTTATTGTGAATTCACCAAGTATACGGTTTACATACAATGTTTATGGCACTACTTAAAAGAACACAGGAGTTTTCTATTAAATAAGAAAGTCATGAGAAGAAGTTTTCTTTATTTAGCTTTGAATACAACCTATAGGTAAATAAAATCTTATTTTTTTTCATCCCCTCATATAGCATAGTACGCTATACACATAAGAAGGTCTCGATAAATATTTGAAAAGATTAATGTGTCTAATTAAAATGGCCTTTTTTTTTTTTTAAAGCTACAAAGAAATACGCCAATTAACCATTCATTTTTAGGAAAATAAGAGTGTGCTTTTATACCACTTTATATTTCAAGTATTTATATATCCTTACACTAAAAACAAAAACACTGCCCTTAGCCCAAACAAGATCTTTTCCAATAGACTATCAACTTTACTAAAAATACATTGGGCACTGAGAAATTGCAAAAGAAAGCACTATCTTTTAGATTTTCCTATAAAGTAAATTATAATAAATTAGTAATTGCCAGTTAGATTTTAGTACAGAATCAGTATGCTGCATTCTCTTCATTTCCTGAATTTGTAATTCCTTCTTCAAAGCAGAAATATTAATAATAAAGCTAATATTACACAGCCTTACCATGTGCCAGGAAGTATTCAAAATACTTTACATTTTTAACTAATTTAATTCTCATAAACTTCTCTAATTCCTCATTTTCAGATAAGAAAACAGGCTCAGAGATGTTACATAACTTGCCCAAGGTAATACATCTTATGACAAACTGGAGTCAGGATTTAAAAACAGGCAGTGTGGTGCCAGAATCTAGACTCTTAACTACCATGCCATACTAGCTCTTAGATATAAGAAAGGGAAAGAAAATGAAAATACCACTGCAAATACGAATGTATATGTAACTTATTAATTTATTTACTAATTATTATATTTCTCATAGTGCATTTTAAAAGGTTAAATCAGAACCATAATATACAAGTAATGAGTAAAAAATATTCATTTCCAAACCTAAATTTGATGAACATATGCCAACACATCAGAAACAACTAAGTTCAACACCTTGCTCATTACTTTCTTTGATTATTGCCATACATGTTCTGAAGTACACCAAGCTTATTTGAAAAAAAAAAAGAAGAAAAAGAAGAAAAACCTTTAATCTGCAAATATTTACAAAAAATGAGTCCCCAGTGGCAATATGCAATGGTTTAAAATAACTCAATAAATAAATTCACAATCATTTAAATGAATCCTAAAATATAATTTGTTATCCTTTCCAATTACAATTTAAATTTTTAAAAATATGTTCTCATCACGCTGACTAACATTAAAACACAGTAACTTTTGAATTAAATAAGTTTATGAAAAAAATTTTAAGTACTATAGGTATGCATGCATACACCCACTTTAATTTATTTATTTACTTATTTTTACAAGCTCAGATTCTGGAATTGTTCAACCTCAACTGAAAAACCTCTTGTCATGGAAAATATGCAGCTTACTGATATTTAGAATGGTTTTCCTGTAATTAACTCCCCCTTGAGGATTTTAAGTTAGCAGCAGTAAAATTACCAACAGTACTCTAATACACACCACATGCGCTGGTGTTCAATTCTCAGTGGTCTAATAGCTTTCTGCTAAAGAACTTTTTTTTTTTTTCAAAATTAGAACAAAACTTTTCTAAGCATAAAATAAAAGATAATTATCATGTTTA